TATATATATATATATATATATATATATATTTCTTTATTGAGAAATATTTTTAGGTGTTTAAAGTGTTGATGAATATCAGTTGAAAAAATAAGAACATCATCAATATAAACTAGCATATATGTCATATAAGGATTAAAAACATCATTCATAATTTTCTGGAATTCAGATGGCGCATTTTTTAAACCAAATGGCATTACATTCCATTCGTATTGACTAAATGGAACATTGAATGCGGTTTTCTAGCGATCCTTTTCATTTATTTGTATTTGTCAGTAACCTGATTTAAGATCAAATTTTGAAAAAATGCAAGCATTTACTAACCTTTCTAATAAATCTTTTTTATTAAGATATCTGATCCATTTAAGAACTTTATTTAATGGTTTATAATTAATAACTAATATTGGAACTCCTCATTCTTTTTCAACATTATTTTCTACATAAAAGGCGGCACAATTCCATGGAGATGAGCTTGGTCTGATTAATCCTTTTTGTAATAGAGATTTTATTTCTGTGTGACAAATTTCTAATATTTTTGAATTCATCTGAATTGGTCTTGCTTTTGTTGGTATTTTATTTTCAGAAAATCCTTCATCATATGGAAGAGATACTATATATTTTTGTCTATTCCGAAAGGCATTTGGCAAATCACTACATATTTCCTCTTCAAATTGTTGTCTTAGATTTTCAATTTTTGATTTTATTTCAGGAAGTAATAGTTGGTTTTCAACTGCTTTATATTTTATCTCAGCTTTGAGCTGATATAAAAAATTCTCTTTATTTTGTATGTTTTGTTTTATATTATTTATTTCTTTTATTTTTGGTTTATCAATAAATTCGAATTTTACTTTTATTCCTTCAATCGTTGATTCTATTCCAGTATGATCTATAACAATAGGATATAACAAACTGATAAAAGGAGTGCCCAAAATAACAGCTTGGTTAAGTCCTTTTACCATGATGAATGGTAATTCTAGACAGATGTCATTATTGCATATGGCAGCATTTGATAATTTATAATTTATTTTCAATTTACTTCCATCGGCTGTATTTAGAACTTGAGTAGTTTTATCAAAATATTTTGTAGGAACGAGTCCTTCATTTATACAATTCAAATCGACACCTGAATCTATCAAGGCCATAGAATGATATTCATTGTTGACTATGATTTTTACTAAAGTATACCATTTTTTATTTAATATTTTATTAATTAAATTTATCTGAGGTTCTTGTTTATTGTCTGATGATTCTGGTTGATCTAATATTCTATCATTATTTAGTAATTCATCAAATTCTATTTCTTTATCTTCGAAATTATCGATCAATTCATTATTTAATTCTAATAACCTAATTCGATTTTTTAAATTATTAAGGTCAGTTTTTATCTCATTAACTTCGTGTTTTAATTCAGCAATTGTAGGTTCTTTATGAGTAATATCTTTCTGACCAATTCTTTTAAGAATTTCAGAGAAACTATATTCTTCTGGTGGTTTGATTAATGGAGTTGGTTTATTCCTAGTTTTTGCTATTTGAATGTATTGGCTGAGTATTGTTCGTTTATCTTCAGTATTAGGTAATTTATCTATAATTTTTAGAATTAAATTGTCTTCTTTAATAAGAGTATGACAGGCACATTCGTTGTTATTTGAAGATGTCTCATTCAATAAATCTCCATCTTTTATTATTCCTATGTCTGATTCTTCATCAGAACTGTCTGAATATGAGGAAGATGTTGTACTAGTATCATTGTCATATAATTGAATAATTTCATATAATTGATTTCGTACATTTTCATCTAGTATTAGAGCGTCTATCTTTTTCTTTATATTGTAATTATTTTTATAATGTCCTAATTTTCCCATTTATAGCATCTGGGTATTTTTCTTTTATGCCTTTTATATTTAGAATTTTCTTTAGGATTTTGTTCATATTTTTTGTATTTATGTTTTTTATATCCTTTTTTATAGGATCTGTGTCTCTTTTCTGCTTTTATTCGTTTATGGGGTTTATTTTGAAAAAGATTTAGATTATATCCGAATTGTTCACAGAAATCACCAAGTTCTTTATGACCAGTCATCTTTTGTTCATCAAGTTGTCTTTTGAGTTTCAAGTCAATACAAAGGGCTAAGCCTTCTGCACATATTTCGGCTGATAATTCGCCAAGAGTATAGAGTGGATATGGTATGATCCCCCCATTTTTGGTCTTACGTTGATTGCGGATTTTTTCAGCAACGAGATAAGGAAGACCAAAAATAAATTTTTCTTTCCAATGATTGACACTACTATCTTCACGGATAAGGAGACGAGAGAAGAAAGCATCTTTATACCATTTATAGTGAGAAAGGGTTGGACATTTAAGGTTAGAAAGGAGGTCTTCTGATCTGGCTTCTAGTATGGTAGTACTTCCAACAAAGTGTAAGGTTATAGTATAGATGAGGGTATTAACAGCATCGCTTTCGGCTTGGGCAACATCTTGATTGAATTCATTTTTAATATATGATTGTTTAGTGGCAGTTAATATTGTTTTGATGTATCATTCAGGTGGAAGTCCCACCATCCTCTGAGCCATCCAATAAATCCACAGATAATAGCTTTGTCTACATCTTAATCATGGGCTCCAGAGACCTTACATGCAGTGGCATACATGGTTATGTGTTTCATTGTATCTAGAATCTACAGTTCAGACATTCCGTCTATATTCCAATTAACAGTAGTTCGTCCTGAATAGGATACAGTATGGGATATAAGGTCTTCTTCAAATTGTATATCAACTGAAGTCGGTCTAGGATGGTACATTCTAGTTTGAGATGTGATTCTCATTTTTTTACCATAATCTACTCGACTGATATTTTCTTCTTGAGTAAAAGCATCTTTGATATTAGAAATAGTATTCGGTATTTTAGGTATTTTTTGTAATACCATAGCTGCTGGTTCTGTTATCTTTATTATTGATTCTTTAGTTTTTCCTTTATCCTGAATATCTAGATTCGATAATTTGGTAATTAATTGTTGTATTAGTTCAGAAGAATGTTCTTCTTTCATTTGAAATCTTTCTTTATTAATTAGAGGAGGAGGTTTGAATAATATTGTTTTTTTCTTTTCTTAAATTTTCTCTTGTGGTTGTCTGATAATATTTTCTATTCTGGTAGTATGTTTCCCTATAGTTTGTAAAAATAAATTTGTGTAATTATTTTGCTCTAATATATGAGGTAATAGTTCTATTTTATGATAATGTTCTCCGGGAAGTGTTTTAAATGGAGTGGTTATAGTTTCTAATTCTTCTTGCTTATCCTTTCCTTGGATTTTTATACTTTCTTTAGAAGGACGAATACTTCGAATCGGTTTCTTTTGATCTGTAGTATATGTTTGATATTGATTTTCAAGGCTATAAAGTTTATTGAATTCAGGGATTTTTACTCCTTTTAAAGGTAATGTAGTTTTAAGCCATTCAAAGAATCCTAAGTTTATTTTTTATTTTTTCAAGAATTGATTATATTTTTTATGAGTCATGTGTATTAATTCTTTTGAGAACGTAGTTAGGTACCAATTTCGTAAATCTTTATTACAAAAAGGATTAATCAGGCCAAGCTCATCCCCATGGAGTTGTGACGCCTTTTATGTAGAAAATAATGCTGACAAGGAACGAAGAGTTCCAAGATTAGTTATTAATTATAAACCATTAAATAAAGTTTTTAAATGGATCAGATATCCTATCCCTAATAAAAAAGATTTATTAGATAGGTTAGTAAATGCTTGCATTTTTTCAAAATTTGATCTTAAATCAGGTTATTGGCAAATACAAATAAATGAAAATGATCGCTATAAAACCACCTTCAATGTTCCATTTGGTCAATACGAATGGAATGTAATGCCATTTGGTCTAAAAAATACGCTATTTGAATTCCAAAAAATTTCAAATTGTTGTCTTAGATTCTCAATTTTTTATTTTATTTCAGAAAGTAATAGTTGGTTTTCAACTGCTTTATATTTTATCTCAGCTTTGAGCTGATATAAAAAATTCTCTTTATTTTGTATGTTTTGTCTTATATTATTTATTTCTTTTATTTTTGGTTTATCAATAAATTCGAATTTTACTTTTATTCCTTCAATCGTTAATTCTATTCCAGTATGATCTATAACAATAGGATATAACATACTGATAAAAG